CAGGCGGCAGCCCTGCGTTCCACCTGGCCTGGACAGGCAACAGCGGAAGCCAGGAGCAGCCACCAGCAGCAGGAGGGGCTCCTAGGGGAGGGGGGCAGCTGAGTTACCTGGATTCCGTCCGTCAGCGCCGTGAGGGCCTCTGCAGCACCTGGATTTTGCATTCACCTCCCCAGTTTGTGTTGCTCTCGGCTGGCTTGGGTACTTTCCCAAAGCATCTGTCTGCAGCTCCTGGTCTGTGCGGCCTCCTGGGGGCATGGCCCAGCCTTTTGGAGAGCTCAGCCACGGTATTTAGGAGGCTCAGGCTGCTGACCCGGCATACCCCAAATGGCCTGCTGGGGGAGAGATGGGAGAGGAGGGCCATTTGTCAGGACAGGCTCTTGCAGCAGCACGGGGGTAATGGCCTGATTTGGGGTGGGGCAGAGATGGGGGAGCGGCAGAGCGTTAAGAACACGTGGAGGTTTTGATGCTGGTGACACGGTGGTGAGTCTGGTTTGTGGGGAGCTGGGTCTGTGCAGATGGGAGCCTCAGGGCAGAGACGCTGGGGAAGAGCCGGCTGTGGGGAGAGGCCAGCACCACGCCCTCAGGCCTCCTTGCTCTCTGACCGCTCTGCTGCTCCCACAACTTTTGTAGAACTTGAAACCTTGTTCTTCTTGAGTCTCCCGCCATGGCCATCCCAACAGTAATTATAATTAGGCTCACACCACAGCCTACACACCCTCAAAGGCAAACCCATGGAAACTGGAAGGTTTGGAGTCAGTTCTGAGGTTGATCTAGAAGCAGGCCTGTCTCTGGCCTTCCGCATGGCCTGGGAGGAGGCAGGGAGGAGTGGGGGTGCTAGGTCAGCGACCAGGACCCCCGCTGCTGTGCTGCTCCCACGCTGTCTCCTAAACACCTCCCCCTGCCTCCCACCCAGTCCTGCTGGAGTGAGTATCTGACGACTCGGATCGAGCAGAACCTCGTGCTGAATTGCACCTGCCCCATTGCTGACTGCCCTGCCCAGCCCACTGGAGCCTTCATTCGTGCCATTGTCTCCACGCCGGAAGTCATCTCCAAGGTATCCCCTCTCATCTGAGAGGCTCCAATGCAGAGGCAAGGGGACAGGCCTCAGGGAATGGCTGAGCTGCAGGGGCTGGGGTCTGGAGGTGTGTCATCTCGGGGGTGGCAGCCTCACCTCGTGGTACTTCTGGCCCCACAGTACGAGAAGGCACTCCTGCGTGGCTACGTGGAGAGCTGCTCCAACTTGACCTGGTGCACCAACCCCCAGGGCTGTGACCGCATCCTGTGCCGCCAGGGCCTGGGCTGTGGGACCACCTGCTCCAAGTGCGGCTGGGCCTCCTGCTTCAACTGTAGCTTCCCTGAGGTGGGCGCCCCTAGACCCTACCCTGAGCAAGAGTCATACTCCTTCCCTGCTCCGTGCTGCTGCTGTCCCACCCCTGCCCCTCGCTGTTCCCCTTCCTCCCTCCAGATGTGACCTGTGTATCTGCTCGCTCCCTCTCTACCTGTACCCCAGCAGTGCCACCCTCAGAAGGGTTCGGCCGTGTCCTCACCACCCCCTCCCGCTCTAGGCACACTATCCTGCCAGCTGTGGCCACATGTCTCAGTGGGTCGACGATGGCGGCTACTATGATGGCATGAGCACAGAGGCCCAGAGCAAGCACCTGGCGAAGCTCATCTCCAAGCGCTGTCCCAGCTGCCAGGCTCCCATCGAGAAGAATGAAGGGTGCCTGCAGTAAGAAGGGGGGCTGCATGGGCGGGGGTGGGAGGCCTGGCAGGGAGCAGGGGCAGAGGGGTTGTCACAAGCTCAGCAAAGGAGGCACTTCCCACCCCTCACCTGGCCCGCACCACAGTGACTGAGGAAGGATTCAAAACTCAGCAGGGCTTGGAAAAGACAGCAGGCTGTGGAGCAGGGGCAGAGGCCCAAGGCCCAGGGCCCCGGGCCCCGTCGGTAGTGGTGCCCCTCCTGACCGGCCAGCTTCCTCCACAGCATGACCTGTGCCAAATGCAACCATGGATTCTGCTGGCGTTGCCTCAAGGCCTGGAAGCCAACTCACAAAGACTATTACAACTGCTCTGCCATGGTAAGGGGCTGCACTCCGGAGGAGAGAGGGCTCGTTCCAGGGTTGCAGAACAGCAGTTGGGGCCAAGGTTCAGTGGAGGGGGAGGCCAGGGCCACGTGGACCTGCCAGGTGCTGGGAATTCCGTACTGAGAGCTCTGCCTGCAGGTGCCTTCCACTCCCACAGAGGTCGCCACAGAAAGGCTGGGGGTGGCACCCGGGCAGTGTGGGGCAGAACAAGGAGTCTAGCGTCAGAGCCTGGTTTGCTTGTGAATAGCTTCGGGCTGATCAGTTCACTTCTTTGAGCCCCAACATCCTCACCTGTAAAGGGGTTCATAATACGACACTTAGGAGTTTTAAGTGAAAACAGTCTGAGTGACATGTGGGAAGGCCTCCATGAGCGGTGGCTGATCTGAGTAACTCCCTGCTGGCCAATGAAGCACTCAGTCACCCTGTCCACCTGGCCTTCCCAGGTGAGCAAAGCAGCCCGTCAGGAGAAGCGGTTTCAGGACTACAACGAGCGGTGCACTTTCCATCACCAGGCCCGGGTGAGCAGGGAGGAAGTGGCTGGTGCGCGGGGGAGGGGCCGGCACGGCGCTGGCACTGAACGCCTTCCTCTGCACAGGAGTTTGCAGTGAACCTGCGGAACCAGGTGTCTGCCATCCACGAGGTGCCCCCGCCCAGATCCTTCACCTTCCTCCACGATGCCTGCCGGGGGCTTGAGCAGGCACGAAAGGTGGTTGTAGGGGCTGGGGGGGAGCATTAGTTAGGGAGGTGCCAAGGGGGTCTGGGGGGCTTGGCTGCTTTCCTCCAGCTGGCCTGGTTGGAGGAGATGGGGAGGAGGCAGGGAGAGCTGACTGGGGCTCCCCTAGGTGCTGGCCTACGCCTGCGTGTACAGTTTCTACAGCCAGGACACGGAGTACATGGACGTGGTGGAGCAGCAGACTGAGAACCTGGAGCTGCACACCAACGCCCTGCAGATCCTCCTGGGTGAGCGGGTCCCCACCCAGGCATCCTCGCTGTGCCGCCTCTTCCCATGGTGCCAAGCGGCCCACCCCAGCCCGCACCCCCCCCCACCTGCTGCATAGCCTTCTCACCCCCAGCCATTGACGCTCAGGTCTATAGTTGACGTGGTAAAGGGCTGGGGCACACGTGCTCACCCCACGTGTCGTGGGGTCCTGCTCCACGGGCGTGAGTGTCTAGAGCCCTCCTGCCACTCAGCAGGTGCCCAGTAGGTGTTTGTTGAAGGAAAGCATGGGTGAGAGTGAGAGAAGGGAGGGAGCCCCCTGCCTGCCCCCCTGCAGAGGAGACCCTGCTGCGGTGCCAAGACCTGGCCTCCTCCCTGCGCCTCCTGCGGGCCGAGTGCCTCAGCACGGGCATGGAGCTGCTGCGGCGCATCCAGGAGAGGCTGCTGGCCATCCTGCAGCACTCCGCCCAGGTATGCCCGCCCGCCCCCCACCTCTGCCCTGCACAGCCCTGGCCCAGGCCAGTCCGCGACTAGCAAGTGGCTGCTGGGGGACCTGGGTGCATGTCTCAGCTGGATGCTGCCAGGTCCCGGCCCTCCCCGTCCTGGGCTTTCTCACAAATAAAGGGGCTGGGGCAGGAACCCGTCAGAATCACTCAGGCTGCTTGCAGGCTGCACCTCCTGTGTGTGCACTCACAGTCCCAGGAGGGGTGAGGTTGTGGTTACTGATGGGAGGGGCCAACGGGATCGTTTCCAGCCCTGACTCACTGATGTGGGGTCCAAACTGTGACTCCTGCCTTAGGCTACTTACTACAGCAAGATGTAGACATGCTACAGGCCCCTGGGCATGGGCCGGCACGCGCACAGCCGTGTCCTTATCCCTGGACACCGCCGTGATTTAAATTATGCAAGGGGGTGGCCTGGGAGGTGAGCAGAGGGGAGAGCATTGTGAGCAGGAGCCCAGCCCTCGGGAAACAGCAGTTGAAGGAATGGCAGGCACAGAGGCCTGGCTGCCCACACCTGCGACTCCTTGGCAGGATTTCCAGGTTGGCCTCCAGAGTCCATCAGGAGAGGCCCGGGAGGCTAAAGGATCCAACGTGCCCAGCAACCCGTGAGTAGGGCGCCAGGCCAGCGATGGGTGGCGGGTGATGCCAGGCTTCCCTGGGCCTGAGTGTGCTGGCTTGCCCAGGCCCCAGGGCTCCTTGGGGCTGCAGGGGGAAGAGGAGGAGGAGGAGGAAGATGAGGAGGACGACGTGCCCGAGTGGCAGCAGGACGAGTTTGACGAGGAACTGGACAATGACAGCTTCTCCTATGACGAGGAGTCTGAGAACCTGGACCGAGACACTTTCTTCTTTGGTGATGAAGAAGATGATGATGAGGCCTATGACTGAGGGGGCGGGACGCAGGAAACACCTGGAGCCGCCCCAGCGTCACCAGGCTGAGGGGACAAGTTCACCCGGTCCCGGTGTCGTGGGGGAGGGAGTCCCAGTGTTGGCAGCATCTTCTTCTGTAGCTGGAATAAACTTCTCCCTACACCCTGGAGGCTGGCTGGACACCCCCGCCTCACCTCCTTCCTCTCCTTAGACTCCCAGACACTTCTCCGCACAGAAGGCCCAGAGCAGATCCCACACTGATACAGGGAAGTGAAGGTTTGTGGGGTGCAGGGCCAGGTACAGGCCCGGCCCAGCTCCAGAGGGGGCAGCAAGGAGAGCTGCAGGCCCCACACCGGCTTCCTCCTCGCTCTTTCAGTGTTCCGGGGCGGGCGGGCGGGGCGGGGCGGGGCAGGGCAGGGTAGGGCTGGGTTTGAGGGCATCAGGAGGGGTCTTCTTCCTGGGGTCTGCAGACCTCTTACGGGACTTTGCATCAGCCAGTTAAGTGGGGTGGGCCTGTCCGCCCCCCCCCCCCCCCATGCAGGTGTAAAGTTAGAATGTCAGCCCTGTTTTCAGCTGCTTGGGGCTAAGAGGAATGGGAGGAGAGCAGCGTCTGGGAGCAGGAGACTTTAATCAGGCGCCATTAAGTCAGGTGGCTGGGTCAGCGGCGGCAGCTGCCTGCTCGAAGTACCGGTCCAGCACGGCTTCCAGCTCTCCCTCTTCGTAGTCCCACACCTGGAACTGCGAGCCGTCGGCTGCTCCGCGGATCATGGCTGAAAGCACTGGAAGGGGAGGAGGAGCTGGAGCTGCCTTCCCTCCCCGGCCCCACTGGGGGCCCGCCGCGCACTCAGCCCTCGGAAGAAGGAGCCGAGGGCCGGGGCCCCAGAAAGCCTGGGTGGTGGGGCGGCCATCCAGGCTTCCGATGCTCACCTCGGCCTGACTGTGGGCGGAACAGGCACAGGATTCGCTTATTGAGGGCCACAGCCCGGCCCAGCTCGTAGCCTACGCCCAAGGATGGCTGTGTCACTTCTGCCACCACCACTGGGAAGAAAGATGAGACCAAGGCTCAATGTGTGGGCACCTGGGGCTTGTGGGAAAGAGGATGGGGCTGTGGTGAGGAGGGAGCCTAGGAGCCTTTCTAGGGGTCAAGGCCAGAGGAGTTGGCATGGAGGGAGCAACTCACCGTCTGCCTGCTGCAGCCAGGCCAAGTCCCGCTCGTGGATGAGCCTGTCGCCCCCAGCAGCCTCTTCCCCTGTGGCAAGGGAAAGCTGGTCAGGGGCCCGCCCCACCCCGGTTCTCCGGGCTCAGCAACCCTCCTGTGCTCTGCTCAGGGAGGGAGGAGGCTTCCGCTAAGTGACCTCCAAGGACCTGGGCAGCCCAAGATCGCGGCAAGAGCAGTGAGAAATGGTGGCCAGGAGGCACAGTCAGCCTGGCACACGGTGGGATGTGGGTGCACAGCAAGGACCAGCTCACTCCAGGGCGATTAGGAAGAGCGCGGGGCCACTTGACCAAAGGTAGGGGGGCATGCTGGGGTCAGTGCATGGGGTCGCAGCCTCCAGCTTGATGGAATGTTCTCCAGGACACTGAGGCACCCAGCTCCCTGCATCAGAGCAGAGCGACTGCAGAGCTAGTTACGAAGACAGATTTGGGGGCCTGCGCTGTGGTGTAGTGGGTTATTGCCCTGGCCGAAGCGCCGGCATCCCATATGGGCACTTCTGATCCAGCTCTCTGCTATGGCCTGGGAAAGCAGTAGAAGATGCCCCAAGTCCTTGGGCCCCTGCACCCACATGGAAGACCCGGAAGAAGCTCCTGGCTCCTGGCTTCAGATCAGCTCAACTCCTGCCATTGCGGCCAATTGGGGAGTGAACCAGTGGATGGAAGACCTCTCTCTCTGTAACTCTGACTTTCAAATAAATAAATAAATCTTAAAAAAATAGATTTGAAGGCCTTAATCCAGATTATCAGAATCTGCATTTTAAACAAGTTTCCTCAGATGATATATTTCTTTTTAAAGGCAGAGAGAGAGCTTTGATCTACTGGTTCATTCCTCAAATGGCTGAAATGGGCCAGCGCCATGGCTCAGCAGGTTAAGCCACTGCCTGCAGTGCTGGCATCCCATAAGAGTGCTGGTTTGCATCCCAGCTTCTCCACTTCCAATCCAGCATTCCTGCTAATGTGCCTGGGAAGGTAGCAGAGGATGGCCCAAGTGCTCGGGTCCCTACACCCACAGAGACCTGGATGAAGCTCCTGGGCCTTGGCCTGCCCAGCCTTGGCTGTTGCTGCCATTTGGGGATTGAACCAGTGGATGGAAGATCTCTCCCCCCACCCCTGTAATCTATTGAAAAATAAGAAAACAAACCATAACTGAAACAGCCAGGAGCCAGAGCTCCATTTAGGTCTCCCACGTGGGTGGCAGGGGCCCAAGTACTTGGGCCATCTGCTGCTGCTGTCCCAGGCCATTAGCAGGGAGCTGGATGGGAAGTGGAGCAGTTGGACTCAATCCAACACTCACAGGATATGCCACTGTTGTGGGCGGTAGCCTAGCCCCCTGTGCCACAACCCTAGCCTCTCAAATGGCACCTGAGTTGCGCACACTCAGTTCCAACCTGGCAGGCAGGGGTGCATCTACTGCAAACTAGAGACCCTTACGCTTCAAAGTTCTGCCCCTCCCCGACCCCCCTGGGCAATTCTGTGGTTTTTGTCTTTTTAACAAAGTCACCCAGAATTGCATTAGGTCCCACAAATCGTGCACACACTCTTGGTAGGGCAACACAGGAACCACTTAAGGTTTTCTGAGAGGAGGTACAAGAGTCCTAGGCACAACTGTCACAACAGAAGGGTCGGGGAGAGACCAACGAATCCAAGCCAAACTTTACAGAGACGCAGCAGCCGGGAGCAGAATACAGGAGCCGCCTGAGCAGAGCTCGTGAGAGTGCTGGTGGCCAGAAGCGGGCTGCCAGGTCAGAGAAGGCTGACGTCTTCACAGAAAGGCTCAGCTCCGCGCGGGGTGACGTGGGAACCGAGCGCCAGGTAGACGCTGCCCGCGCCTCCGTCCTTCTGCTCCTCCCCGCTGACGCCCCGGCAGGGGCTGCAGAGTTCGCTAAGATGGCAGCGAGGGAGGGCCTGAAGAGCTGAATGCTGAGTTTGGGCAGGGGCGCTGGAGAGAGCACCCGGGCAGGAGGGCGGGCTCCGGGCCGTGGGCGTGCACCGGTCCCAGGGAGAACCGGAACCGAACCCGACCCGACCCTCCCCGCCGCCCGCGCCCCGCGGCCTCACCGCGCGCGCCCAGTTCGGCGGCCGCCACGTGCTCGGTGAGCACCACCCCGAAGCGCCGCAGCCGCGACACGATCCGCCCGTACAGCGCGCGGTCGTCGCGCCCGCCGCGGATGCTCCCGCAGAAGTACAGGGCTCGGCGCCCCGGCTCGCCCGGCCCCACGGGTTCCCCGCGCTCCCGCGTCCCGGCCGCCGCCATCGCCGCCGCCGCCGCCAGCCTCCGCGCGCCAGGGGGCGCCAGCCGCGGCCACGTGACCCGGCCCGGCTCGGGAGCGCCCCTCCCCGGGAAACGGGGACGGCGAGCTGGGGGAGGCCAGGCGGGAACCGACCCCTCCCAGACCTGGCTCGCGGGTGACTCGCCCAGGCGGGACTCGGGGTCTGCCCCCGCCCCCCTTAGGTGAGGACCAAAACCCTGGACCTACTCTGGCCGCTTGCACTTCTCTTGCACCCCGTATCTGCTCCGTCGCTTCGCCTTTCTAGATTATTTCCCTAATCGCACGCGCACTGCCAGGATCCTGGGCCAAGCCTCCCGCCGGGCAGTCCGAGGGAGCCGTGGTCCAGTCGTGGCATCCCGGCCCTGCGCTCCGAGCCCACCCCCGCGGCCCGTCAGGATCTGCTCCCCGCACTGCACTTTCCTTTCTGCAGACTTCGCTCAACCGTGCCGGCCATGCCCTGGCCCCTTGGTCGCCCAGGTGGCCTCCCGCTCCCTCCTCTCCTTCCCTCAGCCCCCTCCCGCATACCCTCCCACCACCACCCAGCCCTGCCCTTGCTTCTCCCCTTCTCACATCCATCCCATAGAATTTGCTAATGGTGTTGTGTCCTTTTACAAGGAGTAGAATGCAATTTCCCAGGGGAGTAGAGATTGCTGCTATTTGTGTTCGCTGCTGTATTTCCAGCTTCTAGGACTGTGCCTGCCGCATTGGAAACCTCTGTCAGCTATTGGTTGGCTGAATGAGTGGACTTCCAGCACTTTGTAACCTGCTGGGCCCTCTGCTAAGTCGGTGGATAGAAGCACTCTCTCCCTGGTGGTCAAGCTGACTGCCCCCATCTTAGCGACAGTCACACAGGGGTGTGGCCAAAAATCCAGAGTGGAACAAGAGGCTGTGCGCTGGAGAGAAGGTCACGAGAGCCCAGGCCCACGCCCCAGTGGCGGCTGCATCAGGGGGGTCCCCTGCGTCCTTCTGGAAGGAACTGTGAGAACACGGTGTGGGCTCACAGGAAAGCGCAGCAGTTTTATTCAGGGCTGTCTCAAGGCGCAGATTCCAGGCTAGTCCCGCCCGCTGCTGGGCCCTGGACCAGGGAGGCAAACCTGAGCACAGGGCTGTGCCCTGGTGCTGCCCCCTCCCAGGTGGGCACTCACACCCAGGCTCTTGCTGCCACTGGACTGGCTTGGTGAGCAGCCTCCTCCCCCAAGCTTCCAGTCCTCTCTCCCGGCTCTAGGCGCAGAACACACTTGCCCACACACACACATGCATGTCTCAGCACGATGTACATATCAAGGTCCAGTCCCCATTGTCAGCTGGAGAAGAGGCGGGACCAGCCACAGCCCGGCCCCCAGACCACCCAGCTCCCTGCTGAGGGCCTGCTGTTGGGGCTGGGGGCAGGGCTGGGGGTGGGGGGAGAAGTACCCCTCCAGGTGGCTGGAAGGAAAATGGCGTCCTCCTTGGGTTACAAACAAGCTCTGTGACCTTGATGATCCCTTAGTCCCTCCAAGCCTCAGTCTGCCCGTTGTTCAGCAGCAAGGATGGTCACCTGGTCTGCGTGTGCCACGCACAGGGAAGCTTGTCACAAGACATGAAGCGCTCGGAGAATTGTCAGGGCAGTCAAACTCCTCCATGTGCCTCTACTGTGGTAGACAGGTGTCACCACCCACAGAAAGCCAGCAGCAAGAAGGAGCCCTCATGGGAACTGCGGGCTCCTGGAGGCCACGATGTCCTGTGGATGACTGATGCACCACCTGAGGGGGGATACTGCACGTGGCGGGGGGGGGATAGGGCGGACGTTAAAACTGCTCCAAAACGATAGGCTGGGGGCCGGCGCGGTGGTCCAGCAGCTGAAGCGGAATCCCGGCTGCTCTGCTTCTGATGCAGCTCCCTAGTACTGCTTCTGGGAAAACAGCGGAGGATGGCCCAAGTGCTTGGGTCACTGCCACTTACATGGGAGACCCAGATGGAGCTCCTGGCTCCGGCCTGGCCCAGACTTGGCTGTTGTAGCTATTTGGGGAGTGAACAGTGGATAGAAGGTCTCTCTCTCTCTCTCTCTCTCTCTGTCTTTTTGTCACTTTACCTTTTGAATAAAGAAATAAATCTTGGACCAGTGTTGTGGTACAGTGAGTTAAAGCCACAGCCTGCAGTGCTGGCATCCCATATGGACACCAGTTTGAGTCTTGGCTGTTCTGCTTCCAATCCAGCCCCCCACTGATGTACCTGGGAAGGCAGTGGAGGATGGCCCAGGTGCTTGGGCCCCTGCACCCATGTGGGAGACCTGGAGGAGGCTCTTGGCTTCAGCCTGACCCAGCCCAGTCGGTGTGGCCATTTGGGGAGTAGGGCAGTGGATGCAAAATTTATTCCCTCTCACTCTCTCTCGTTGTAACTCTGCCTTTCAAATGCACAAATAAATCTTTTTTTAAAAGGGAATCTTTAAAAATTTTCTTATAAAAACAAAGTTATACAAAGGTAAGTTATTGCTTGATTCAACCACAACAAACTTTTTTTTTTTTAATTCCAGAGGCAGGGAGAAAGCACGTATGTCCCATTTGCAGGCTCACTCCCCAAACACCTGGAATGGCCAGCGCTGCTCTGCGCTGGGGCCAGGGGCAGGGGCTCCGTCCAGGTCTCCCTCGTGGGGGGCAGGGACCCAGCTATCTAAGCCTTCACTGCTGCCGCCCCATGTCTGCACTTGCAGGAAGCTGGAACCAGAGCCAGGCCGGGTATCAGCCCAGGCACCCTCATGTGGGATGTGGAGTCTTAATTTAAAGGCCAAATGTCCACTCTCCAAAATTGTCTTCATTCTGGAAAATGTCAGACTTGTACCCGAACAGAGAACTGTATGATCCCATCTGAGTGAGAGATTTAGAAAAGAGGCGGAAAGCAGGTTGGAGACCGCGGAGGGCTAGGACGGGGCGGGAGCCGGGGCTCCGTGCTGAGCCCCCCGTGAACCTTTGGGGGCGATGGAAAAGCTCCAGACGAGCACCGCAGTGGTTGTCGCACAACTCTGCATTTATTTTTAAAAAAATCTTAAATTGTGCGCCTGTAGCTGGTGGAGTTTATTGGCATATAAATTATAGCTCAACAGCTTTATTGAGGTATAATTTACATACCAATAAGATATATAAAGACCTGCATAGATGGAACGTGTGTGCTTTGATGAATTTGGATCCTGTGAACACCTGTAGTGCCGTAACCACAGTTAAAGTCACAAACCGAGTCCTTCCAAAGTTTCCTTGTGTCCCTTCATTGTTTTATTTTGTTTTCATGGTGAAAACACTTGAAGTCCACTCGCTTCAATTTTGAAGTGCACAATATCATTTTGCTAGCTAATGGCACTCTATTGCACAGCACAGCTCCAGAACTTTTTTTTTTTTTTTTAAGATTTATTTTATCTATTTGAAAGGCAGGGTTATAGAGAGAGGTAGAGACAGAGAGAGGTCTTCCATCTGCTGGTTCACTCCCCAAATAGCTGCAACAGCCAGAGCTGAGCCAGTCTGAAACCAGAAGCCAGGAGCTTCTTCCCGGTCTCCCACACAGGTGCAGGAGCCCAAGAACTTGAGCCATCCTCCACTGCTTTCCCAGGCACGTTAGCAGAGAGCTGGATCAGAAGTGGAGCAGCCAGGACCCATATGGTATGCCAGCACTGCAGGCTAGGGGTTTAACCCACTGTGCCACAGCCACAGCACCAGCCCCTAGAACTTTAAAAATATATATATTTATTTGTTTATTTTAAAGGTGGAGTTACAGAAAGAGGTGAGGGGGGAGAAAGAGATATCTTCTATCTGCTGGTTAACCCCCAAAATGGCTGCAATGGCTGGGGCAGGCTGGAGCCAGGAACCTGGATCTCCATTAGGTCTCCCACATGGGTGGCAGGAGCCCAAGCACTTGGGCCATCTTCTGTTGCTTTCCCAGGCCATTATCAGAGAGCTGGATCAGAAGTGGAGCAGCCAGGGCTGGAACCAGAGCCCATATGGGATGCCGGTATCAGGAAGCTTAACCCGCTGCACCACAACTCCAGTTCTAGGACTGCTTATCAACATAAGCGATCCTTTCTATCAGTTACACAATCCCCCACTGCCTCCACGCTCCGGCCCCTGGCAACCACTACTGTATTTTCTGCTTCTAGGAATCTGACTGTTATAAATATCTGACATATGCTGATTTCATTTCACGCACTACTTGTGCTTCTGTGATTAGCTTATTTCATTTAGTGCAATGTCCTCCAAGTTCATCCTGTTGTACACTTCCTGCTTTCAAAATACAATGTGGGGCCAGCGCTGTGGCCAGCTCTCTGCTATGGCCTGGGGAAGCCGTGGAAGATGGTCCAAGTCCTTGGACCCCTGCACCCGCGTGGGAGACCTGGAAGAAGCTCCTGGCTCCAGGCTTCTGATCGGTACAGCTCCGGCTGTTGTGGCCATCTAAGGAGTGAACTAGTGGATGGAAGACCTCTCTCTCTGCCTCTCTGTAACACTGCCTTTCAAATAAATACATCTTAAAAAATACAATGCAAATTAGAATAATTAAAATTATATATTGAGTAATTAAAATAGTGTGGTACTGGCATAAAGACAGACCTGTGGCCCAATGGGACAGAACAGAGTCCAGAAATAAGCCTGTGCATGTGCAGCCAACTGATTTTTGACAGAGGTGCTAAGAATACGCGGTAGGGAGACCTCCCATTCATTGGTTCACTCCCCAAATGTGTTTGTTGCAAATGGTGGTGGGAAGATTGGCTAGCTGCAGGGACAATAAGGAGAATGGAGCCCTACCTTCCACCATGCCTCAGAGTCGACTCAGACTAAATGTGAGACCTGACCCCATAAAGCTCGTGGAAGGAAACACAGGAGAAAGCTCCTTAACATTGGTCTTGGCAATGACTTTTGACATGACAACAAAAGCACAGAGATACAAGTAGGATAGCATCCAACTAACAAAGCCCTGCCCAGCAAAGGAAGAAGTCAGCAGGGTGGTGGAAAACAACCTGCGAAATGGGAGCAATACTTGCAAAGCAAGCATCCGACAAGGGATTA